CAAATTTGTGCACAAAATCTGAGAGAAATACGCTTTTTGTGCGTATGGAACATTTCTGGGATCTTTTATTTCAGCTCATTAAAAAATGGGAGCAACACTTTACATGTTGCGTTTATATTTTTGTTCAGTATAATAGGCCCACTGGCAAACATTACATAAACCTAATTGGTTGCTGTTGTTCAATACGGTCTGGAATCGCTGAACGTACACCGAGAAAATTTTGTTTGCTTAAAATATCAGCACTGTTATGTACTCAACAGCCAATATTTGCACTTGTCATTTGCTGCCAAACATTATCAATAGAGTCAAGCTGTTAGTCATAACTGGTGTGCAACAGGTGGCTCGTACAATAGCCATGTTGTCCCTTAGTGCTGGCTCGTGTGTGCACTACTTAAGGAATGAGAAAAACAGTTCATGTTCATATGCAAAAACGTTTAACAAGGTTAAAGGTCAACAATTGCCATTTGTATGGAATCATGTGACAATCATCAATTCATGGCCTGTATGGGAGTGGTACTTTCAATGAATGTTTTCCCTGTTCAGTTGAAAGACAACAGTAAAGACTTGAATCCATCTCAGCAGGTAGCTTAGTGGTTAAGAGCATTGTGCCAGTAACCGAAAGGTCGCTGGTTCTAATCCCCGAGACCTAGGTGAAAAATCTGTCGATGTGCCCTTGAGCAAGGCACTTAACCCTAATTGCTCCTGTAAGTCGCTCTGGATAAGAGATAAGAGCATTTTATTCTAAAATCAATCCCCTATTATACCCACTGAAATAAAACTGCTACAAGTGACTTAAGGACTACCCAACTCCATCCAGTAGAATCAATAACAGCTTCTGCTGCTGGTGTTGGAGCACTGAAGCCCATTAAGATCAAATCAAATCAAATTGTATTTGTCACATACACGTGTTTAGCAGATGGTGTAGCGAAATGCTTGTGCTTCTAGCTCCGACAGTGCAGTAATATCTAACAATTTCACAACATATACCCAATACACACAAAACTAGTAAGGAATGGGATTTAAGAATATATACATATATGGACAAGCAATGACAGAGCGGCATGGACTAAGATACAGTAGAATATTATAGAATAGAATACAGTATATACATATGAGATGAGTAGTGCAGGATATGTAAACATTATTAAAGTGACTAGTGTTCCATTTCTTAAAGTGGCCAGTGATTTCAATAGGCAGCAGCCTCTAATGTGCTAGTGATGGCTATTTAACAGTCTGATGGCCTTGAGATAGAAGCTGTTTTTCATTCTCTCGGTCCCAGCTTTGATGCACCTGTACTGACCTCGCCTTCTGGCTGCGTCCCAGCATTGCAGGCTGCGTCCCAAGGGGGTCTGGACTGAAGCCTGAACCACCCGCCCGCCACCCTTGTTAGAAGCACTGCTTTAAACTAGCGGGTTAAAAAAGCCTGTAAACGTGGAGTTGTTAAGCTGAATAGGAATGGCCAGACTCATTAATTAAAATCTGCCAAAGGCCACATGGCTCTTTTTTGATTGGAGCAGCCAGTAGAGAGAGAATATTAATTATTACAGATATTCATGAGCAAAGTGAAGTGTGCAATTAGGGCATGATGAAGGGTTCTGTGAGGGTGGCCAATACCAAATCAAACAACTATCATCATTAGCCAATTCATTTAATTTAGTTAGCTTGTGATAGCCGTTGATATGATGTTCCTGTTTAGCACATTTTCTACCAACCTTTACTCGGTGGTATTTTATTCGTTCTCGATTCGGAAGGCACCGGTGTCTTATAAAACTTCTGTGTCCAGTTGCAGGTGGTACTCCAAAAAACAGAATATTCAGAAAAATATTAAATCCACTTTTTGCACCGCACAAGGGAGGTTCCATCTTAGCTGCCGGAGAGCTTACATTTGACAACATCTTTGCAGGGCGGCAGGTAGCCTAGCGGTTAGGGCCAGTAACCAAAAGGTCGATGTGCCCTTGAGCAAGGCACTTAACCCTAGTTTGCTCCAGGTATGCTGTACTACTATGGCTGACCCTGTAAAACAAGACATTTCACTGCACCTATCTGGTGTATGTGACAAAACATTTTTTTATTTTATGTTTTGTAATTTCTAAGGGTCATATGTATAAGAGGACGACAGCGCGTCACGCATTACGAACCAAACAACACAAACAAAGATTCACACACACACGAGATGCCATCTCTCACTCTGTACTAAAAGTGGATTGAATATATTTCGGAATAATTCCTCGTTAGAGTTTTTCACCTGCAACTGGACACAAAAGTTCATAAGACACCGGTGCCTTCCGAATCAAGAACGAAGAAAGTACCGGCAAGTAAATCTGCTAAATGGCATATTATTATTTTTATTATAAATGTTAGTCGAAAATTTCCTGATTAAGGCTAAACAGGAGCATATGCTCGACCTTAACCCTCTAGAGTCTAAGCTCACATATGGAATTGTTTTAGGATGGTCATACCAAGGATCATTTAGTTATTTTATTTTGAATTTTAAGACCCCTTAAAGGATCAAAAAAATTATATAAAAAAATGATTGGATGAAACATTGAATTTGGCATTACTACTATTAGCCAATAGAAATGCAATGAATAAAAGATGCACAACATAGAACAGATATTGCCCCAAAAAATCAAAAGGAAGTTTGTTCTGAAGTGTCTGTCTTATATATGAGAGATATAAGAAAACTATGATTATAACATGTATTTATCCCCTTATTTTAGGCACTAAACTATCTCCATATATACTTCCATTCATTTTTTAAACTGGTACCAGGGATCTTCAGATGAGTCTTGTGAGGCTTGTGGGCGTTCTAGGGCAAAACGGAGAACAACATCATGTTCGTGAGAGTCTCAGCTTTTAATAGAGTTCTTAGTTTGTAGGCTACAGACGTTTCTGTAAGAAGACCCATTTTCGGGATGTCTCATGGTCTGACAAATACCACTCTAGCTCTGCGGAAGGGCGATATGGCGGATGCGGTGGATTGAGACGCTGCCCGTATAAAAATATCTCTATCTTAAACAGGCAGATTTTGATGGGGATTTTTTAAATTATGTTAATTAGATTTCCGCGGGGGCACAACCATTGTAGGCCAAGGGTTAAACACAAGCTTTAGATAGCTATGACGTCGAGGTTCGAGTTCACTTGACATCTATTCTAAAGGACGGCTTTATAACACTGGTTGTGTACAGCGCATTCGGAAAGAATTCAGACCCCTTGACTTTTTCCACATTTTTGTTACATTACAGCCTTATTCTAAAATTGATTAAATTCATTTTTTCCCCTTATTAATCTACACACAATACCCCATAATGACAAAGTGAAAACAGGTTTTTAGAAATGTTTGCAAATGTAAATACCTTTACATAAGTATTCAGACCCTATGCTATGAGACTCGAAATTGAGCTCAGGTGCATCCTGTTTCCATTGTACATCCTTGAGATGTTTCTACAACTTGATTGGACATGATTTGGAAAGGCACACACCTGTCTATATAAGGTCCCACAGTTGACAGGGTATGTTCATTAGATGTGACGTTTCATAGTCTCCTCGAAGAGAGAGGAGTGTTGTCACATGAACTGCCTCGTGGATACTCATCTTTCTTTGTATACTATTCTGATTTTTTATATATTTTTAGTCATTTTAGCAGACGCTCTTATCCAGAGCGACTTACAGGAGCAATTAGGGTTAAGTGCCTTGCTTAAGGGCACAGACAGATTTTTCACCTAGTCGGCTCGGGGATTAGAACCAGCGACCTTTCGGTTACTGGCACAACACTCTTACCCACTAAGCTACCTGCTGCCCCTATTATATTCTAAGGAGTGGCACAGCAGAAATGCATCAGCGTTGCAATGTTGTTGTAGGGCTGTGTAGTGTTCCACCCTCATACAACTTGTACAACTGTAGCCTATCCCAAATTATCATTAGATGTGTCAAATAACCTGCTGGTGTTTCATCATCTCTTCAAGGCAAGAGAGTAGAAAGAATGTTGACATAGGCTAATATCTGTTTTGGCAACACGTACTGCAAACTATCTGTTGTATGAAATGAGAAGATATCGGCAGGAGTAGCCTAAGAAATGGTATTGTGTCAGAGTTGCAACATTAAACGCTTTAGGAAGATAGAGTTCCTAACCAGAGGCAAATGAAATTGACTTATTTACAGTCCAAACAACTACAAAATGATCCCATGGTAGGCTTGGCCACTGTATTGGTGTCAAATGTAGGCTAGTTAAAAAATTCGCTAGAAATAATGAAAATATGTTTACCCTGAGTGGGTGAATCTCATATTTTCATGTAATATTTATTATTAATCACACATGTTAAGGCATAACCTGCAACAGGATGAGAATATAGGTTGCGGAAATGAAGCAGGGTGGGAAAATCTGATCACAGAACAAGCGGGCTGAATCTAACAATAGAATGAGCCCAAAACTAGAGCAGATGTTTGTTCACCTAAATCAGGGATGGGCAACTGGCCCCCCTTTTGAAGGCCCTTGGATCAACCCCGCCCCCCCCCCCCCCCCAAAATAAAGGAATTTATTATTTTTTTGAAACTCAGTCGGGGTCTAAACTTACTGTTGCGAGTTAGAATAATAGAATATACAAGGTGCAATTTCGAAATGTTGTTGTGCCTCAGCAGCGTTTCTCTTGTTATGTAAGTCACTGATAGTCAGTCAATTAGCCCATGTCAGTGAAGAGTTTTTAGATTGTTAAATTAGTTTTGCGGCCAGCTATCTAAACTTGTTATCATGGTCGAATTACCCCATTGATTTTTGTTAGTCAGTCTCACTCAGATATAATATTAACAAACATTTCTCTCCAGCCTTTGGGAAAATGTGTAAAATTGCAGGAAATTCGTTATAAAATTGCAACATTTTCGCAACTGCGGCCCCTCCATGATGAGTTCAGATTTTTTGTGCCCCCCACTCCCACCCCTGACCTAGATAGAGACACAGGTAATGAGTTGTTGTTGTTTTGGATAAACACCTACCGATCTGTGTGTCAGAGAAGCCTAACCACGTTGCCATCCACAATGCTCTGCAACACCTCAGAATTATTCAGTATCCCCAACTCGACCGTTTTCTCTGTCGGCAGGTTGTCAAAACCTCGGTCGTATCCATGATTGTCGTGTCCCGTCAGGCTGCTGCTGTGTTCAAACGTAATTCGTGATGGAGCGTGAGCAGGAACCGTTCTGTTCACTGATTCCTTTCCATTCAACTTGCACTTCTCCCCGGCTTCAAGAGTTTTGATCTTGGTCTTCGAGAGCCGCTCCGAAAACTTTCTCGCCCAGAGCGCAAAGTTGTCCAGGGTGCTTTTATCAAAGTCCTCGGAGTAAACCTTTATGTTGCCCGTGTACCACATAATCCACCAAGCCAGACTGAGGAAGATGATAAGTGCACCCGTGTAGATTAGGAAATCACCGTAGAAGTGACCGTCCAATTTTAGATCGGCGAAAATACCAACTAAAAGAACTGTCAAACCGCCGACGTCAAAAGCGATGGCTAGGAAAAATAACGGCGCACAGTTCCCCACGCAGTTGTGAGCCATACCTAAGCTATATGAGTGATTGAGCTCAAATAACGGCAGGGAAGAGTTGAACTCGTTTTTCAGGACGCACATTCCTCATCATCCACCTGTGGAGGAAGAACACCTGTGCGCGCAGAAAGCCGCCTTCCTGTGACGTTCTTATTTCAGTGGGGTTTATCGGCGGTTGGCATCCAACATTATGGTGCATTACCGCCACCTATTGTACTGGAGTGTGGGCCAGAGACAGGGAGAAACTAAATTCTACCTGCCAGCCCCGTTGCTCTTACTCTTTAAACTAATTTCCTGTATCCCCTTCTCCCTCATATTAGATCTCATCCTCTCTCTTTCCCTCTGATACTGCCCACACTGTAGCAATACATGCTCCACGGTCTCTGTTTCCTGACAATAATCACACTTTCCTGTTGGATGCTTTCCTATCACATTTAATCTTATTCAACTGGCTGTGTCCCACCCTTAATCTTGTAAAAAATAACCTCCTCTCTTCTGTCCCTTCCTGCCATCCTCCCCTCCCCGACATTCCTCTGTACTTGAAATAAATGCCTTCCCTTATTATCTCTATTCCACTGCTCCTGCCATCTCTGCACCATCACTGTATATATCAGTCTTTTTGCCTCTGCCTTGCTCATTGAAACTTCAACATCAACATCCCCACTACTAAGTGCTTGTTTAGCCTGTTCCTCCTGTGACGTCAATGTAAACTAGAGGGTTTTAGGGCCATCCCCCATCCTTGGTATTCCCCTCAGGGTCATTTGCACAGATCTGGGCCCAGTTTACGAACCCAAATTTAGAGCCTTTATCATTTGGGGGAGAAACACAAAACTGATGTTAGGTCAGTGTCTAGGTGTAACCCACATGACAGGTGGTGGGTCATATGTAAACCAGGTAGGCCTGTAATGAAACAAACACATATATACACAAATACGATTTAAAATGTGTTACATAAAGTGCTGCATTTTAGCATTCCCCCACACCCACCCAGGTTGTCACACTTTAAGTGTTTTGTTTGTTGAACCTGAGAATTGGCTCAGAAATTCATGCTAGCTCTGGGGGAAATATCCATCTCGCAGCTTCTTTTTTGTTTTGAGATGATCAGACATAGGCTCTCCATCACACAAGCAGTATTCGGTGGCTGGGATAATCAAAGGTTGAATATGATCCTCATGTTTAAGATGCTATGATGACTTGTTTTAATTGGTAAGAGCAAGGTTGGCCAACCCTCATCCGGGAGAATTGGCCTCTGCAAAGGCTAGAGAGCAAAACGTTTAGCAGAAACTATGGAGCAGTTGCTCCTAAAACTTGTTTTTTTAAAAATTTTATTTCACCTTTATTTAACCAGGTAAGCCAGTTGAGAACAAGTTCTCATTTACAACTGCAACCTGGCGTTCTGTGACGCCCATCAACCACACCAGTTTCTGGCCACATCAACTCAAAACTAATCAGCCACAGCTGGTCCCGCCCATCAATAACCACCTGTTTAAGGCCACTATAAAGTTCTTATAAAAGGTTTCTTTAAAGTAGGACCATAATTAGTCCAATTGATATAAATGCTGTTTGTGCTTCTGCTTGGTGTTCCAAGCTAATGGGAAAGAGTAATTGGTCTGCAGCAATAATCATGCATCTTATTTCTTTATTTATTTACAGAATTTAAATGCAGAGCTGTTGTTTTTCCAATTCGGCTGCTGGGGGCGCCAATCCCATTTGCAATAGGCCCAAACCCTGCTACAGCGACTCACTCACGCTGCCTGTATAACGCCTGAGTGGCAAGGAAGTTGCGTGTGTGTGTTGTGTTATTCAGAGCGAAGCTTGAAGGGGGGGCCGATAACATCCTTTCAAACTGTGTGTTAGAGACAAAGTGTGTTCACAAAGACAGTGTTCATGAAGCCAGCCCATTATACACTGGGTTGAGCCTTCTGTCTTTCAACACACTGCATTGTATTAATGGTAGGAGTTTGGACGACAACAAGTTCACCCCAATCATCACCTCAGAGTGAGGGTGATAGCTGATACCATCTGTAGTTTTGGCAGCTGAAATGATATTCCAGTATTCCTGTGTGTCACTGGGGCACACACACACACACACACACACACACACACACACACACACACACACACACACACACACACACACACACACACAAACACACAAACACACACACACACACACACACACACACACACACACAGCCTCTGGACACAAACTGTATCTAAACTGTCCACCAAGTTAAGCCCCTGCATTCATAGATACGGTACACCGCATTGCAGGGTTCCTGCCTGCCAAGCATATTCCCTTTTAAAGAGGATTTTCTATAGACTACTTGGTAGATACCTCAAGTCAGGTTGAACAGGCGAGGGGAGGTGAGGGGAGGTGAGGGGAGGAGAGGGGAGGCAGGGGGAAGTGAGGGGAGGTGAGGAGAGGGGAGGCCGGGGGAGGTGAGATGAGGGGAGGGGAGGAGAGGGGAGGCAGGGGGAGGAAAGGGGAGGAGAGGGGAGGCAGGGGGAGGTGAGGGGAGGAAAGGGGAGAAGAGGGGAGGAGAGGGGAGGCAGGGGGAGGTGAGGTGAGGGGAGGCAGGGGGAGGTGAGGGGAGGAGAGGGGAGGTTTGGCAGAGACGAGGGGAGGCAGAGTTGAGGCGAGGGGCGGGGAGGGGAAGCAGGGGAACGTGAGGGGAGGAGAGGGGAGGTGTGGCTGAGACGAGGGGAGGCAGGGGGAGGCGAGGGGAGGCTGCGACGAGGGGAGGCAGGGGTAGGCGAGGACAAGAGAGGGGATGCTGAGGCAAGGGAAAGGGAGGCAGGGGGGAGGCGAAAGGAGGAGAGGGGAGGCTGAGGGGGAGGGGAGGCAGGGGGAGACGAGGGGAGGAGAGGGGAGGCAGGTGGAGGTGAGTGGAGGAGAGGGGATGTGTGGCTGAGACGAGGGGAGGCAGGGGGAGGCGAGGGGAGGAGAGGGGAGGCAGGGGAAGGTGAGGGGAGGAGAGGGGAGGCAGGGGAAGGTGAGGGGAGGAGAGGGGAGGCTTGAGGTGAGGGGAGGGGAGGCAGGGGGAGGTGAGGGGAGGAGAGGGGAGGAAGGGGAAGGCGAGGGGAGGAGAGGGGAGGCAGGGGGAAGGTGAGGGGAGGAGAGGGGAGGCTGAGGTGAGGGGGAGGGGAGGGGAGGCTGAGATGAGGGGAGGCTGAGACGAGGGAAGACGAGGGGGAGGAGATGGGAGGCTGAAGCGAGGGGGAGGTGAGGGGGAGACGAGAGGAGGAGAGGGGAGGAGGGTGGGAGGCGAGGTTGAGAAGAGAAGAGGGTAGGCGAGGGGAGGTGAGATGAGGGGAGGCTTGTGACAAGGGGAGGGGAGGACGAGGGAGGGTGAGGGGAGGCTGAGACAAGGAAAGGGGAGACGAGGGGAGGTGAGGGGAGGCTGAGACAAGGGGAGGTGAGGGGAGGTGAGGGGAGGCGAGGGGAGGTGAGGGGTGGTGAGGGGAGGCGAGGAGGAGGTGAGGGGAGACGAGGGGGAGACGAGGGGAGTGGAGACGAGGGTTGGCGAGGGGAGACGAGGGGAGGCGAGGGGAGGCGAGGGGAGTGGTGGCGAGGGGAGGTGAGGGGAGACGAGGGGAGACGAGAGGAGGCGAGTGGAGGTGAGGAGAGACGAGGGGAGATGAGGGGAGACGAGTGGAGGCGAGGGGGAGGCGAGGGGAGGCGAGACGAGGGGAGGGGAGGGGAGACGAGAGGAGGCGAGGGAAGGCGAGGGGAGGCGAGGGGAGGTGAGGGGTGACGAGGGGAGGCGAGATGAGACGAGGGGAGGTGAAGAGAGGCGAGGGGGTGACGAGGGGAGACGAGGGCAGGTCAGGGGAGGCGAGGGGAGGGGAGGCAAGGGGAGATGAGGGGAGGCAAATGGAGGAGAGGGGAGGCGAGGCAGAGAAGAGAAGAGGGGAGGAGAGGGGAGGTAGGGGGAGGTGAGGGGAGGCAGGGGGAGGTGAGGGGAGGAGAGGAGAGGGGAGGTTGTGGCTGAGACAAGGGGAGGCAGGGGGAGGTTAGGGGAGGTAGGGGAAGGTGAGGGGAGGAGAGGGGAGGTGTGGCTGAGACGAGGGGAGGCAGGGGGAGGCGAGGGGAAGGGAGGCAGGGGAAGGCTGGGGGGGGGAGAGGGGAGGTGTGGCTGAGACGAGGGGAGGCAGGGGGAGGCGAGGGGAGGCTGAGACGAGGGGAGGCAGGGGAGGTGAGGGGGAAGAGAGGGGGAGGCTGAGGCAAGGGGAGGGGAGGCAGGGGGAGGCGAAAGGAAGAGATGGGAGGCTGAGGCGAGGGGAGGGGAGGCAGGGGAAGGCGAGAGGAGGAGAGGGGAAGCTGAGGCGAGTGGAGGCAGGGGGAGGCGAGGCTGAGATGAGGGGAGGCTGAGATGAGGGAAGATGAGGGGAGGAGAGGGGAGGCAGGGGGAGGTGAGGGGAGACAAGGGGAGGTGAGGGGAGGCTGAGATGAGGGGAGGTGAGGTGAGGGGAGGCTTAGACGAGGTGAGGTGAGGGGAGACGAGGTGAGGGGAGGCTGAGACGAGGGGAGGGGAGACGAGTGGAGGTGTGGGGAGGCGAGGGGAGGCGAGGGGTAACGAGGGGAGGCGAGATGAGACGAGGGGAGGTGAAGAGTATGGGTATGCTTGTCATTGGCAAGGACTTACAAGTTTTTTTTGGATAAAAAGAAATTGAATAGAGCTAAGCACAGGCAAAATCCTAGAGGAAAACCCGGTTCAATCTGATTTCCAACAGACACTGGGAGACAAATTCACCTTTCAGCAGGACAATAACCTAAAACCCAAGGCCAAATATAAACTGGAGTTTCTTTACAATACAACATTGAATGTTCCTGCATGGCCTAGTTACAGTTTTGACTTAAATCGGCTATAAAATCTATGTCAAGACTTGAAAATTGCTGTCAAATTTGCATACCGTCCCAACAGATCCACAGATGATGCAATCTCTATTGCACTCCACACTGCCCTTTCCCACCTGGACAAGAGGAACACCTACGTCAGAATGCTATTCATTGACTACAGTTCAGCGTTCAACACCATAGTGCCCTCAAAGCTCATCACTAAGCTAAGGACCCTGGGACT